GTCAGGGGAGGCAGAAAGCGTGCCTCCCTGCAGCGCATGGACGCGGCGGCGCCAGCGGCCGCGCCACGGGGTTCGCAAGAGTCTCGTCCCGGACCCTCTCGCGCTGTTGGAGCAAAAACAGGGCGGGATGGTTTTCGCCAAATTCGGGGTCGAGAGTTCCTCTGCTGGGCCCCGGGGGCGTCAACAACAATTGTTCAGGATGAAGAACTGGTCCCTGGGAACGGGTCGAAACCTCGAAAGATCCACGTTCTGGACAAGTCGCGACCTCGGCGGTGTGGGTCCCCATCCTCCCCCTGCCCTCTTTCGCTCCAGGCCTCCCAGACAGGGTCCGAGCAGGTGGGATCGAAACACTGCGCCGCATCGGCGATGCATCGGCGGTGCGGCTCGATGTGGAACCCGATTTTCTTCCCCCCGACGCCGCCGATGCGTAGCCGACACCGCCGATGCATCTCCAGTGCATCTGCGATGCATCGGGGATGCGCCGCGATCTTCCGACCCCACCAACTCGGACCCTGGTTGGGAGGCCTCTGTTCGCCAAGCCGAAGTCGCGGCGGCCCGTCTGAGTCCGACCCGAGTCTTGCGCCTCCTTGAAGAGACGAAGCCCGCCCGTGAGCACCCGGTCCCAGGGCCGGGGTTGAGTGGCACTCGGGGGCAACGCGGCAACGTTAAGGAGGACAGGCTCAGGGCGGACGCATCGGTCCCCAATCGCCCAGTCATCGCCTATCGCCCCGGACCAAGCGGGTTCGGTATCAGAGGCCGATGGGCGATCTATCACCCATGCATCGACGATTCCAACCTTCGGACACAACGGCGATGCGTCGCCGACGTGCACAGCGAGGCATAACACGAAACGATCAGGTTTTGATCGCCTCCTCCTCGTTTTGCTCCTCCTCGGCCTCGCCTTCCCTCGGGCGGGACCAGGAGACTCACCCTGGAGGGCTTCAGAGACTGCCAGCTCTGGCCCTCCCTCTCCTTCCGACCGCTGTTGCCCCCGGGGTGGCGAATCTGCGGTTCTGCACGCTACGTTTTCGGTTGCACCAGTCAGTTCACGGATCCGCTTGGGGGAGCTCCTCACTCGCTCATTCACTGAAGACACTTCAGGATAGGCAATTGTTCCTGGGGCCGGCCCGATCCGATTCAATTCCGACATTCGCCAGGGAGGGAAAAGAGGTCCTGAGGAAAGCGGGCTGTCCGGTTTTTCTCCGCTTTCGGGCCTCTGGGGCCCTCCACGGACCCTGGGGCTGTCAGAAAACAATTCAGGAGGAAGAGAGCTGTGCTTTGGGGAGGGCTCCGGGGCCCAGGATAAGGACCGGGTCCTGTCATGATAAGATTATCCGACGATCCGATGCGACCCCAAGGCCTTGGCGCTGTTCTGAATCCTGGCGGGGCCGACCCGAGTCGATGTCGACTCCGTGCCGATGCGGCCCGATCCGACGCACATGTCGATCCGATTTCCCGATTCGATGCGGACGGATCCTGCAGACCATAACCAAGATGTCGCGGTCGCTCGCCGACGCCGATCCCAGACCCCCTCTGGTCATGGAAACATCATGACGTTAATGTTTCTGTTACCGATTTTCTGCTTCTGGGGGCCCTCGCCGAGCCTCGGGACCGTCAGCGAGGGTTCAGTATGAAAAACGGGTCCTGAAGGCCGCGGGCGGCTCGAACCCACTTGAGAGAATCGGCCTTTCACGCGTTCGCCCACTGCCCCACTCCGCTCGTTGCAGTGGCCCCCTGCCATGGCGCCCTCCCAGCGCGGCTGAACGCTCCGCGTGCGCCGCTGGCGCGTCTCGGCATGAGCTCTGGAGAGCCCGCTGCAGGAGGCGACCAGCATCGCCCCACGACGTGACAGCATGTGGTTGTGCGATCGCACCCTCCCGACGACGGTTCCATCCGCGACACTTGGTACTTATTTCTTCGCCTCCCACCGCACTTCAGGGCCAAAGCGGCTCTGTCGACGTCGTCCGCGGCCACTTCCGCGTCAGGCTCATCGTCGGCGACTTCCCCCCATCAATCAACGAAATTCGGCACACCAGATGGAGACTACTTGCAAGCGCCTATGGCAGTGGATTGTGTCTGAGTTCAACTCGTGCCCAGCTCGTACTACGCCACTCTTTTCCGGCCATCTGAATCAAGGTTTTGACATACGTCACCGATCATTATGGACAGACGACAGCATTGGACCCATGCAAGCTGCCCCAGACACCCCCGTGGGCTCACACATGCACGAGTCTCTCTTGCGCAACTCGCTCACGGCGTTTAACACCGTCTGGAACACGGGATCGACGTCCTTCGGCAATGGAGGTGCCCAGAGTAGAATCGACTACTGGATCGGCCCGGCCGACGCCATGCCTATCACCAGCAAGATCAAACTATGCTGGAAATCCACCGACGCCTGCGCACGTTTGTTCATATGAAGGGCCACATCCCCATGCTTATCAACACCAAGTTGCCCCTCCCACACTCCGCCACACCGAGTCAGACGATACGATGGGATTGGGCTTACATAGCTGCTGAACTCCAAACTGGTTGCCGACGCCCCGAATTCCTCCACGACCTCCACACCCGCATCGAGCACTGCCGACATACATTACGAGTGCTTCAGTACGACCAACTTCCTGATCGCCACCCGTCGCTTATTGGATCCGTAAAGCAGCTGCACCTAACTACTTCCGCCGACAGGGGAAGCTTCAGTGGATGCAGGAAGAACAAGTCCACCGACGACAGCTCTTACGAGAACGCGCACAAGTGGACGACGCCCTACCCAAGGACATTTCACGACGACTACGAGAACACGCCAAGTGGAAACAAGCCTGGTGGAACTACTCTCTCGACGAGCAGATCTCCGACGCATGGCACCAGCGAAATCTTTTCTCGGGTGGCCGAATTCGCCCGACTCCGCGCTGGGGCGCGCATGTGCCCCAAGAAGCGCACATTCCTCGCCTTCCCGAGCACCGGGCCAGCAGCAGCACATTACGCAGCAGCGTTGGGGCGAGACGGAGTTGATGGCGGATTCACCGCCACGCCCATCCACGTCAGCATCTACATCGAGAACCATTTCGGCATCGAGCAACTCTACCATCGCCACGACGACGGCATCGCGCCACTCGGAGAGTACCGCGTGGACCCGACACATGATTTTCTGCTCGCAGTTGCTGAGGACCCCGACACTATGGCTAGACGACTCTGGGCCAACAAGCACCGCAAGTTCTCACGGAGCTGGCCATGACCCACGGAACTGACGATGATGATGCTATTTCCAAACTACATCAGCAGACCTGGACTACCGCGCAGCGGACTTGGGTACGACACGACCGACTACGACTATTCACTTCACGCCCGACGACACGGACTAGGACACCATCAGCCACCGAACAACGACGATGACGACCCACGACAACCACGACCTCCACACCGACGACAACTTCAGATCGACTACGACCACTGCGAGGCCCCGAAGGTCATGTTCATCCACCTCCCCGCTCGCGCACGTGACTCCGACGCACTCCCGGCCCAATCCTACGCGGGCCAAGCGGTGGCCATCGGCAAGAAGGGCAAAGAACCTCGAGGCGACCCTGTCAACGACCTGAACAACTTCCTGCGTGTGCATCACGCATTCTGCCCCTTCTGGCGGCTATATTTACGAAGCGGACTGGTGGACTTCGGCAGCACTCACGGCCCGCCCACATGGGCATTCGGAGGCATCCGCGCACGACGACGCGAAGGACTCATGCTACTTGCTCACACCGCCACTCTCAAGTTACGCAAGGCCCACGTCCCTCACATCGTGAGGAGCTACGACATGGGGAACGCATTCGGCATCAGCTACACTCATCGACTCCGCGCCGCCCACCAACTTCGCACGGACAACGACCACTGCGAGAACATGCTCTGCCAACGCCGCGAGAAGGCCGCCATGCGGACCGACGCGTGCGACCAGATGATCGGCCTCCACCGGCGAACAGGCGGCCGCGTGGGCGACAGCAACGAGCCGGAGTTCTTCATGGAATCTTTCTATCCTCTCATCCAGGACTGGGACCTCGAACTCACTGGACGGCCTTGCTACACCCAGCCCGATCAGTGGAGAAGTGCACAGAATCGACATGTGTGCCTTCATTGACGACATCGCCCGCGTCTTTCCGATTCCCGACGGCGCTCCACGACGAGCCCTAGCTATCGATTGCATCGACGCGCCCATCTTGAACCACAAGCTCGCGCGGGGCGGCTACTCACAGAACCCTTCCAAGCAGGAGACCCTGGTCTGCCTCGCCACCAGCGCGGCGACCAAACGAGCCGAGCACGATTTGACTGGCACGTGCATGACCAACCTGATTCACCTGGGCTCCTACATCCACGTTGGCGGCTAGAACGCTCGGGAGGTCGAGGGGCGCACCCGCGCCTGCAACATCGGTAGGACTCGGCTGACTCATTTCTGGACTTCGCCCGCACCCAGACATTTCAACATATTCGGCTTCCTTGCGAACATCGCGAGCAGAGCGCGGTCAGGCCTGGAAGCTCTGGCCCCGACTCGAGCCGAGGCGGCGCGCGTCGACGCCAGCTCGGCAAACAAATATTGATGATTGTTTTTTTATTGTTTATATATATATATATAAAGATGCGCTGCATGCCCCTCGGCCCTGCTCATGCAGTCGACGACGGCGGCGTTCGCATTCTACTCTCACCATTAGAAGCGTCTTCATGGAATGGAGCATCGCCCCCGCGGGGCTCGAGCTCTGCGTCGGGAAATTGAAGTGGCGGCAAGATCTCAGCAACAAAAAAAAAGCCTCTCATCATGATCAGTTGATTGCAGGATTCTTTGGCCGCGGTAAGATTGAAGATCAGACTTCTAGTCGAGGCTTACCCACTTGCGCTCATGCGTTGCTGCCTGGAGGCCCCCTGAATCCCGACGAACACGTCCATCCTCGGGCCCAGCCATTTCGAGCAGACCTCCGAAGCGCCCTTGAAGACCCCGTCGCCGACGACTTGAAAGACGCGTGGAGCATCGCGTCCGATATGAGCTCTTTCAGAAACCAGAGATCCAGGAGACCTTTTTCAGAAGAGCGTCTTCAGTCACCTCCGCCAGGCCTACGTCTCTCTGTCTTGGGCCCCACCTGGACACGCACAGCATCTACCTTCCGACGAGCCCCTTGGAGACGCAGACAGCGACCCTGAATATCCCGCTCCGCTCGCATGCAAAATCGAGGGGTGTACGAAGAGGTTTCGCACGTTCTCCGCACTCATATCCCACCAAACGACGGCCGTGCTCCCTGGACACCGCATGAGTACTATCCTATCTGCCATCAGGATCGACAATGAATGCGTCGCCTGCGAGAACGTCTACGGAAACATTCGATATTGCCAATATCATCATCGCCGCTCTTGGCTAGAAGGACGCTGTTTCGTCGATCGCACGTTGCACGCCTATCCCTGGTCACCTTCGACGCTCGCGAGATGCCCCCTGGAACATGTAAGTGATGCCGTCGATTGTCATCGAGACTATCGCGACCCCGAAGCACTTCGAGCCCCCCTTCGAACGCGCATCCTTCCGTCGCCACGCGGACCCTGGCTCGAAACAGCCCCGCGCTCCGCGCGGACGGCCGCTCGGGGCGGCGAGCCGGCTGGCCGCAATCCCTCCCTGCACCGGTTTGGAAGCCCGCTGACACAGCACCGCTGCGGCGTGAAGGTCGCCTAGCGGCAGACCGACTGCTTGGTACTACGCAAGATACCAAGCCCACGATTACACGCGCGAAATGGACCACGCCACGTGCGCCAACGCGCACACAGTTGGGCACTACCAACTACAGCTTGGCGACTCTATCGGCTCTGACTTCTACACCTGCTCTACTTGCGCGACCTGCACCACCACCTGCAGATGGCGGGCGCGGGCAGCCGGGCGGTGCCGCCGGCCGCGCAGAGGCCGAGAGCCCCTTGGCGCGGCCCACGACCGTCCTCGACCACGTCTGGCAACTCTGGCAGCGCCTCCAAGGACGGCGGACACCAGCCAAGAAACAAGGAGCAGCCCGACAGCCAGACACGACCCCCCCCCCCCCCCCGAGGAGGAGGACAAGGCGATGGACATGGACGCGGACGAGGCCGACGCCGAAACGCGCCGAGCCCGACGCCGAGGCGGGCGACGCGCACAGAAAGGTTTCCATACGGACAAGGGCCGGACGAACAAGGACAAGAACATGCACGCTCTCCTCATGTCATTGACCTTGGCGCTTCAGAACACGCAGAATATCAGATTACTCATGCGCGTGGTGGCCGATGACTGGACGATGCCAGCAACTCGCTCGCTTCTCACGCATCAGCGACGAATTGGAGGATTTCGCCAGAGGATCAACGGATACAAATCAGAGCAGGACAAGGAGGCACTACAACTCCTGGGCCCACCGACCCCAGCACTGGCCTCGGCGATGCTGGAGGGACCGGCAACATGCGAGATCGGAGGCCGAGCCAAGCAGCAGATCAACGACTACCTCGAGCAGTGCCAGCCAGCCGACGAGGTCAAGGAACCCACCATCGACGTGGACCTCCTCACCCAGCAGGTCTCGTTCATCAGGATAGAGAAGACCCACGATCCCAACGTCGCCAAGCTGGTGATCGGAGCGCACGACTGGCCAGCCCGACAGCTCGTCATCGACGGGCTCCGCGCCGAGGGGAACATTCGCCACCATGTGGGCCCCGCCCCCGCGGGCTGGATGGAGGAGGAGATCTCGGTCTGGCTGGAGCACTTTAAGAAGATAGTCGGATAGTGTTTACAGCTGGCGGGGCCCTCCCAGGCACGCGCTCCCAGCCATCGCCAGCGCCGGCGCCTGCGTCAGCTATCACCGACCCGACCTCGTCACGGGATAATGCGTGCAAATGCACCCCGCTGATGACGAGGCCGCCAACTTCCTTTCGCCGTAGAAGCAGACGCAGCCGCGTCCACCGAGCTCGGGCGGTCACGGTAGTTAATCTCAATTATTCTCCCCCCTCCTCGCCTGCCCCACAGAAAACCCATTTCCAAAATCCAGAGCCTTTTCCTCCCGCAAAATTGTGTGGTTAGCTGTTCTCGATGAGGTCGTCCGGATCGTGGGATCGAGTGGCGGCGCAACCGTGCCCCAATAGGATGTTCACTCCAGGGGCAACCGCTTGTCTGTAATGGCCGCGAAGGGGGGCTGGGAAGGGGGATAGAGAGAGCTGGCCCCGTCCCAAGAAAGCCGCCCCGGAGAACATGTTAGGGTTTTCCCCGCTGCTCCGCCATGACTGCCCGCCTGAGCGAGCAGCACCGTTGCAGCGCACAGCCGCAGAAGGCGCGAGGCAGCCCCCCCCCCCTCAGCGGGGGGCTCGCTGCAGCGACGAGCATCACTGTATACTTCTCTCAGGCGTTCCCGCTGTGTCGGCCGAGGTTTCGGCGTCGGTCGGGGTGGCGGAGATGCCAGCGTGGTTTAATACATTGCAGCCTGCCTCGAACTGTCAGAGGCTTTCATCGCTCCCACGCCGTCGAACAAAAACGGGTCCCGGGGAATGGGTCGAGACCTCCGAGGGTCGACGTCATGGACAGATCATGACGTCGGGGGCGTGAGACCCTGAAAACGGTCCATGCCTGCCGCCGCCGATTCTCCGCGAACTGGCGCTGACCGAGGTGGGCGGTGACGAGGATCGACACGACATTTCCGCGTCCCGTCATTGTCGTGTTCCCCGCGATCTTCTCTTCCAGAGACCCCGAGATCCGACGTTGCGAAACAATGCGACATGGCGAGCCATCACGACCAGAACACCGAACCGGATCTTCTGCGTCATCTTCCGAGTCGCATTGATTCTGCGAGGGTCCCAGGTTCGAAGGAGAGCGGAAATGCCAGTTGTGAAGAAATGCGGCGCCATGATCGCACGGATTTCCCCCGCTCCCTCCCTCCCGCCTCCGCAGCGAGCCACGTCGCCGATGCATCGGCGATGCGGCGCGACCCTCCGAAAACCCATCCACTTTGACCCCACGAGGAAGGCTTGGACCTCCCCTTCGTCGCGAAACGGGCCTCTGGAGGCTCTGCGGGCGCCGGCGGCGCGGGGGCGCCAGGATCTCAGTGGCTGCGCGGGGGTGGCGCGGGGGCGGCGGATATCCAGACCCCCGACGTCGCGTTGTTGTCACGTCGTCGACCCCCAGAGGTCTGGACCCCTTCCCTGGGACCGGTTTTGCATCCCGAGTCGGTTTCTGAGGGTCCCGGGGCCTGGACAAAAAAACGGGAGGCCGAAAACAGCGAAACGCCCCCCGCCCCGGTTTTTTTAGCGCGAAGGGGTCTGATTGGACGCCCGAAATGGGTACGGAAGAATAGGTACAATGCCCAGCTACAGATGTTGTCCCAAACCAACAGCGGCCGAGGCGGCGCGGACAGCGAGTTCCTCTCAAACTGAACAGCAACTGCTGTTGGGCATTGTACCCATTCGTTTCGTTCGCGCCGATCACCCCACCTCCTCCTCCTCCTCCTCCCCCCCTCTTCCTCCTCCTCCTCCTCCTCCTCCTCCTCCTCCTCCTCCTCCTCCTCCCTCCTCCTCCTCCTCCTCCTCCTCCTCCTCCTCCTCCTCCTCCTCCACCTCCTTCCCCACCCTCCTCCCATTTCGCTCGTGCCGGTTCTGGGGAGCCCGCGCGAGCGGGGAGAGAGAGAGCGGCCGGGTTCCGCAGGCCGGGCCGGCGGAGCCGTCGGCCAGCCCCGGCTCTCCGTGCAGAGGCGGGTCAAGGACCGGGGGGGGCGGCCGTGGGCCTCCGAGGGTCGGCGGCACGTGTCGGGCCGAACAAAAGGGGAGATTTGGAAAGGGGGGTGCGAAATGTCGCAGGCGATTTCTCTCCCCCAATCCCCGACTTCCGCCAGAAAAGTTTGGTCGCTCAGAAAAGGGGAGGAATCTTGGGATACATCCCGAGGGGGCTATTCGGACGCACCCCTGTCGAGGATGGACGCCCCCCCCTCGTATATCCCAGGGTTGGGCCCCAAATTGTTGATCCTCTCGAAAACCTCACGGGGGGCGGCCGTGGGCCTCCGAGGGTCGGCGGCACGTGTCGGGCCGAACAAAAGTCAGGAGAGGAAAAAACACACAGACACAATTCATCGGCGATTCCCAGGAGAGTATGGGAGAATAGGGGGAGTGGGGGGGGGGGGAGAGAGACATACACCCAGGAGATGTACGAAAATAGGGGGGGTATGTTTATTTGTGTGTATTTAGTTGTGTGTCCCAGTTCCCCTTCACAAAAGGGGAGATGTGGAAAGGGGGGTGCGAAATGTGCTGCATGAAGCTGGTTTCGGCCCCACCGAGGGGCCCATTCCTCGATACATATCGGAAACTGGAGAGAATGCATTACCAGTGGCGTTTTTTTTGGGAATCCCATGACTTTTTGAGGGTCGGGGACGACGCTGGGGTGGTGTGATGTATACTTTTTTCCCCGATGTCCCGGGAAAACAACGAACAATGTATACACCAGGATCCCGTATACACCATAATCCGCGTTCCTGAGCGAATTTCAGTGCGTGGTCGGGAAAAGCGTGGGTGTATAGTTCGTGTCCCTGACATGGCCGCCTCCTGCGCCGGGAGGTGCCGGGAAACACGCTACGCGAGCTGATTCTCAAACCTCCCCTTCGGTATCCCCCCCTTTCGCCCGGCCCGAACGTGGGAGGGGCCCTTGGCCGGAGTGACCTTTTGGTGAGGGCCCTCGGGGCTCACAGGGTGGGGGTCAGTGCAGACGGGAGTCAGCAAGAGCGCTGGAGTTTGCAGGATCTTGCGGGGCCAGGGCTGCACTGATCCCCCCCGGTGGGGGTGCAGTATGTATTATGCAGGATGCTGGGGCCAATAGCGACCACTAGCGCCATGTGAGGTAGATGCATTCTGTCCGCTTTGCGCGCTATGAGGCGCCATGCGGGCGACCAAAAGTTTACATGAGTTCCTCGAGGGTCGGGAGGGTCCCGGATAGGGCTGCAGGAAAGGGGCCCTGGCATCCTGCAGCTGCCGCCGCGGGCCCAAGTTGTGCCAGAAGGTTCCGTGCACGCGTCTTCTCCCCAATGTGAGGTCTTTAGTCTTGCTGGGCCCCCCCCCCGGTGGGCAATGAACTCTGCGCGTCTCTCGGTTCGCCCTGTCCTCCTCCTCCTCCACCTCCTCCTCCTCCTCCTCCTCCGCGAAGGCGACGGCGGCGGCGGAATGTTTATTTGCCGAGTAATGTTCGGTGTCGGCGACCCCCCTGGGCAAACATTGCTAATGCCTATCATTGGGGGGGTTGTGAATGAGCGAGCGCCCGACGGAGAGGGGAGGGGGCGGCGGGCTCGCGGCCTGACGGTGCCTTGGGGGGAATCGCTATGATGGACAGTGGAATGATTGGCAAGTTTGAGGGATCCGCACGTGTCCAACACAGGAGGACGCACAACGACACAAACGCGGGATGCCGATTGAATATGATGCCGCCGCCCTGGCGCCATCGCCTAGCCCCGCGCAGGGTTGTCGCCCTGGGACGCCGTCGGCGCAGCCTTAGCCTCAACCTCAACGGGCGGGGAGGGGACAAGCTCGAGCACGTAGGCCGCTGCTGTCGCATCGTATGGGAGGATCGGCAAGCCACGCGCCAGAGGGCACACCTGCCAGTGATCACTTTTCCAGAGTGATGAGCCCGAACGGTCTTACAACATCCCTGGGAGCGTGGGTGAGGTGGGCGTCCGAGGCACATATTATGTTTCTTGTTGGTGTTGTTAACCCTCATTCTTGAACATATGTACAGCTGAAGAATCTCATGGGTGTCCTAAGAATTCCAAAGGGCTTCCTAAGGATTCCGAGGGATGTCTTAAGCACCCGATGCATTCCCATACGAATTTTATGGTTGTCCTAGAGAATCCGATGGATTAATTAACAAAAAATCCAAAGGAGTTCATATGGAATCCTCGCGCCCCGCAGGTCACGGTCGAGCAGGAGTACAAATTCCCTAAGCCGGTCAAAATAGATTGGCGCATGTGCAAGTCTATGTCTCCCATATGGAATCCGAGTAGATGGTGTCGCGGGAAAGCGCAGCACCGCCGACGCATCACCGATGCGGCTCGATGCCGCTCCCGTTTTTTTCCATTTTGACGTCGCCGATGCACGGCCGATGCATCGCCGATGCATCGGTGATGCTGCGTCATCGTCCGACCACATCCACTCGGACCCCATTTAAGAGGCCTCTAGCAGGGGACCTCGGCGCGTCGAGCTCGCCAAGTAATGCGCGATCATGACCTGCGACCATATCAAGAGTGGCGACTCCCTCGAGGTGGGCACGGTGCACGCGCTGCCCTGCGAGATCGAGGAGCGCGCGGGCGTCCCCAAGAACGCTTTGGCGGCCGAGCCGACGGCGGCCGTCGCCTGGGCTCGAGAAGGCCAGGGCGAGGACGAGCCCGCCGCCCAGCAACCCGAGGGGCAGAAACGCTGGGCCGAGAGAGTCGAGAAGGCCGAGCATCTGCTGATCGCGGTGCGCTCCGAGGCTCCCGCGCGCTTCACCTCCTCATGTCCAAACAGGGGACGGGCGCGGTTATCGAGCACCGCGGCGCCCTCGAGCAACCGCCCGAGAAAGCCAAGCGGGCCGCCACGAGGATCCTCCGAAAGCTCGGCGCCACCGGCCCTCTGCCGAGGAACGCCCTGCGAGCCGCGACGGGATGCCCCAAGCGGATGGCTGGACTTTCTGGTTCCCGGCGGCGAGGCGGGTCGAGCGCGACATGCGCGAGATCCGGGGCGGGGGCCGCCAGCCGCCCATCGGCGTCGCCCAGGCGCGCGGCCGCGGCAACGAGTGGACCCAGCAGTTGCAGGGCGCGATCGACAACCGCTCCGCCACGGCCAAAGCCAAGGCCAGGAGCAAAGGCAGGGCAACGCCGCCGCGTGACCCGACCGCGCCAGAGCCCAAGTGTGGCGACCTCGGAGGCGCGGGCCGTAGCGCGAACGCGCACGAAGTGCCGCCCGCGCGCGGCCGGCCCCGAAGGATGTCGGGCCTGCGCGGGTGAGCGGTTTGAGCGCGCGCAAGAGAGAGAGGGTTTCTCGGCGAGTACCGCCGGGATGCACTAGTAAAAATCAAGCCCCGCTGATCACCTAGACTTGTGAGGGCGAGGAACGATCGTCTTCGTCATCGTCATCGTAAGCATCGCCGTCGCCATATTCTCCTGCGTCATCTTTCAGAACCCCGTCGATGTCAATTCAAAACCCATGGAATTTCGCAGGGGCCCCATGGATTTGCTCAGGGATCACACGGCTTCCCCGAGGAGCCCACTTGATTTGTTTCAGGATGTCTGTGTACACCCGGAGGAAACTCGTGGAACCCATTGGATTTCTATGAGTTCTCAAGGAACCCGATGGACTTCCATAGGCATACGATACATGTCATTTAGATTGCCATGAATATCTGAAGGGGTCCGATGGCTTCCTGTCGGGTATATATCGGTGTCCTAAGGCGTCGGAACGATTTCCCAACGATTCCGATGAATGTCCGTAAGAATCGCACATATTTCCGAAAAAGGGAGCCAACGGACTTCCACAGGATTCCCGTGGATGTTCTGGGGGATCCTATGGATGTCCCCAGGGACCCAATGGATTTCCAACTGAACCTTTTTTATATATATCCACAGGAATCACATGGATAACCGAGGGACGCCGATGGATTTCTCAAGGGGTCCTATGGATGTCCGAAGGGGTCCGATGGATGTCCTAAGGGTTCCGAAATCCCACACGAACCCGACGGATTTTTATTGGATCCCGATGGACTGCGAGAAAGGAAACCGCTGGAGTTCCCAAGGATACCATGAGATGCCCACCTAATTCCAATTGCTACCCAAAGGAATCCTATGGGTTCCTTTTGGGATTCCTATCGATGCCCTAAGGAATCCCAATGGTTTCCGAATGGGCCGATTTCCTTATGAAATTCCCACGAATATATGACGGGATCATATGGATCCCCATCGGATTCTTATGCACTTACAAATAAAGTATATTGATGTCCTTCGGCATCCGATTGGCTGCCGAAAAGGATGTTATGGATTTCCTGGGGGTCCCTATAGTTTCCCATCGGATCCCCAGAGGTATTCCAAACAACCCCATGGGTTGCCATTGGATCCCCATGGAATCCCCGAGAATTGTGATGGATTTCCTGAGGGGTCCCATGGATATCCGAAAGAGGCCTATGGATGTCCCTGGGATCCCCATGGGTTGCCGACAAGACCCGTATGGATGTCCGGCCGGAATCCCACGGATTGCATTATTTTTAATAAAACAGTCAGCGTTCATTATCATTTTGGTCATCATCATCGTCATTCGTTTCATCCGTATGCTGAGATTCCCCGGAAAACATGTATTATCCCGCCTGGGCCCTAATATTATTACCCCCAGGGGATTGATATCACGAGCATACGGTTACTGAGATTTCGGAAGGCCATCAGATGCGAAAGGTCGAAAAAATAACAACACATCGATAATCCTGAGGATGTGGAAGGATGTTGGCTTCTTCGGGCCCTCCTTGGGAAGTTGTCTGGCCACTTGAAGCCGTCATGGGGCGGTCTTGGGGCCTCTTGGAGCATGTTGGGAGCCATCTTGAGCGATTTTGCTTTATCTTCAGCCATATTGGAAGTTATCTTGGGTTCCCTGAGGCCCTCTTGGAACCATTTTGGGCCATCTTGGACGCCCCAACGCGTCGCGAAACGCCCCGTCCAGGTCCAGGGGGAGAGGGTGGTGGGGGGTAAACCCTTCCCCGAAGTGGAAGAAAAGGGGGTTGGAAGAGGAAACTCCCTAGACCACCTACGCCCAGAGGGCTGGTGAGACTCTGGGTTCAAAGATGCGGCTCGCGAGGTGTTTAGGCCAGTTTTACCTGAGACATCCTTGGGTTCCAAGATGTGGTTCGCGAGTTAAGCAGACACGTTTCGCCTGAGACATCCCACGAAACCCGGGCTATTGCGATATGCCCTGAATTGAGGTGCGCTGGCCCGTTTCGATTGACACGTTCTCACAACTTTGGGGTACAAGACTTTGTCCGCGATGTGCTCAAGCACCTCGCGTCTGAGACATCCTCATAATATCTGGTTCCGATATGCCCTGACGTGAGGTGACCTAGATGTAAGTGCGCCACGCTTGAAGGCGACAGTGACGAAGTTATTGCTGGGGCTGCCCCCCGTGCTGGTGGAAGTTGCGGACCAATCGAAAGTGACAAAACAAACAAGAGGTCACCATATATCTTTTATATATATATATATATATAGGTGTGTGTATCTCTAGAATCGTATTAATACACGTGTAAATACATACGTATCTCTAGAGGTGTATACATACATACATGCACCAGGAGGAGGAGGGGGAGGGCGGGGAGGGGGGCAGGAGGAGGAGGAGGAGAGGAGGAGGAGGACGAGGAGGAGGAGGACGAGGAGGAGGAGGAGGAGAGGAGGGAGAGGAGGAGGAGGAGGAGGAGGAGGAGGAGGAGGAGGAGGAGAGGAGGAGAACCACACGCGCACACACACACACCAAACTGGCGCTCCCCGACCGAGGAGCCCCTCCCTGGCGAGCGTCGGCAGCTGCCGCGCCGCCGGCGACCCGGCGAGCGCCGCCGACGACTCCGCGCGCCCCGGCCCTCCCCCCGGGGGACCTCCCTCCTCCTCCTCCTCCTCCTCCTCCTCCTCCTCCTCCTCCTCCTCCTCCTCCTCCTCCTCCTCCTCCTCCTCCTCCTCCTCCTCCTCCTCCTCCTCCTCCTCCACCTCCTTCCCCACCCTCCTCCTCCCACCCACCTCCCTCCCGACCCCGTTCTCGCCGTGTTCGGCGGCTACACCACCTCCTCCTCCTCCTCCTCCTCCTCCTCCTCCTCCTCCTCCTCCTCCTCCTCCTCCTCCTCCTCCTCCTCCTCCTCCTCCTCCTCCTCCTCCACCTCCTTCCCCACCCTCCTCCTCCCACCCACCCTCCCTCCCGACCCCGTTCTCGCCGTGTTCGGCGGCTACACCACCTCCTCCTCCTCCTCCTCCTCCTCCTCCTCCTCCTCCTCCTCCTCCTCCCTCCTCCTCCTCTCCTCCTCCCTCCTCCTCCTCCTGCTCCTCCTCCTCTCCTCCTCCTCCTCCTCCTCCTCCTCCACCTCCTTCCCACCCTCCTCCTCCCACCCACCTCCCTCCCGACCCCGTTCTCGCCGTGTTCGGCGGCTACACCTCTCAGGAGGGGAAAAAACACACAGACACAATTCATCCTCGATTCCCAGGAAAATATGGGAAAATATGGGAAGTGGGGGGGAAGACAAAAACCCAGAAAATATGGGAAGATATGGGGACTATTTTTATTTGTGTGTATTTATTTGTGTGTCCTAATTTCCCTTTAACCTCGCCCTCCCGACCCCGTTCTCGCCGTGTTCGGCGGGTACATCGGGGGCGGAAAAGAGGGGGGTGATGACTAGGGGGGGGGTGGATATCATAGCGGGGGTCATGATATTTCCCCAGATTTCATGGCGCCTCTTCTTATTTCATTACGTCCCTGGCCCCCCCGCTGGGCCGCGCACATGCCGCCGGTCATGATTTGCACCCCCCCCTCTTGGACACCCCCCTCTTGGCCGCTCCCGACTACACCTCGGCGGCGAGCCCAGGTGGGAAGTGAGAGTGAGCGGGCCGTCGCAGAGGGCTCGGAAGTCCCCCAGCCCTCTGAGAAGTTGTCCCAACCTCCTCCCGAAGACGCGGGCGACTTTTTTGGAAGGTGCAAGGCCTTTTGAGAAGCCCCGCCGCCTTCTGAGAAGGCCTTCTCCGTCTCCTTGCCTCCCCTCGTCCTGGAAAGGGCGTGGGCTCAGGGTTCTCTTTTAGTGGGTTAACCCCCTTGCCTCGACCTGAGGTGGGCCGGCGGAAGTATTCTGTGATAAGTGACAAGGAAAGGGTGGGCTGGCGGATCTTTGTTTGACGATGTCCCCAGCAAAACGGTAATTTTGCAGAGTTGGGGGAGATTCAAGCGAAACGCTTGTTCTCTTGTGTCCAGATCGCTCAGGCAGATGTCTGACATGAGGATGTGTTGAGCATCTCTCGAGCGAAACGCTTGATTTCACGTGTCCAGATCGCCGAGGCAGATGTCTAAAATGAAAATGTGTTAGGGGATGTCTCGAGCAAAACGGTCGTTTCCACGTTCCCAGGTCGCCCAGGCGGATGTCTAGCATGAGCATGTGTAGAGGATGTCTCGGGCGAGAAGCTTGTTTTCACGTGTCCAGGTCGCCCAGGCGGATGTCTAGCATGAGGATGCGTTGAGAATGTCTAGAGCGTAACGATTGTTTTCACGTGCCAGGTAATTAGCCTAGGCGGATGTCCCACATGAAGAAGTGTTGAGAATATCTCGAGCGAAACGGCTGGTTTCATGTGCCCAGGTCGCCCAGGCGTATGTCTAACATCAGGGTTGTCTTGAGGATGTCTCGAGCGAGACGCTTATTTTCACGTGTCCAGGTCCCCCAGGCGGATGTCTAAGCATCAGGATTTCTTGAGGATGTCTCGAGCGAAACAATTGTCGCAGTAGAGTGCGTCGAAGCCCAACCCCACCAGTCCGTGGGGCGTCCCCTGGCGCGCTGGCGCGTCCCTTGTGAGGCCGTCTGGCGCGCGTGATTGCGCGTTGTGCGCGTTGCAGAGCGTGGCCCGCTGTTGGCCAATTTGCCGCGGTGTTCGCGCGAAATGACGCTGGACAATTGGTTCTACGTCGCGTCCTTTGCAACATTCTTCCGTGATTTGCCCTGGCACGTCCTCTAGGATGCCCCTCGGCGTGGCAAGTTCCCTGGCTCGTCCTCTGTCACGCTTCCTGGCTCGTGTTAAGGCGTTTCCCCTGTCCGTTCCGTGGCGCGCCCCTTACCACGTCATTTGGCATGACGTCCGTCCCCTAATGCGTCCCCTGACACGCTCCCTGGCGCATCCCCCAATGTGTCCCCAGCACATTCCGTGGCGCGTCCGTGAGCGTGCGCCCCGTGTTGTGTCGTCCCTTTGGGGAGCTGAGTTGGATTTTGAGCTCGAGTTGAATGAACGTCCCGCACGTTTCGGTTTCAACTACATAGCTCTGGGCCAGCTACTATGTACTCAGGCAGCTCGAGCTTAAGATCCAGATCAGTTCGGTCGGGACTCGGATTCTAAGGAGGACTCGATCCACAACGCTACAGAGCACAATCGCGACACGGCAAATCCGAATTCAGCACGGCACAGCACAGCACAGCTTTTGGCACGGTTCATCAAGGTCGATACGTTCAGCATTGTGATTGCCCGTCGCCCAAGCAGGTGTCTTGAAAACGTTGCCATGCTTCATATTTCTTCTTTCCGGGTTCGTGGATCGAACATGTTTGTTCCACAGCGGGGGAACTTGGATGTCCAGACCTTTTCCCTGGGTCCGGCTTTTCGTCCTGGGTATGCTCAGGACGAAAAGTTGATCAAACAGCCATAGTTTTGTCGCTCTCGGGGCCTTGCGAGGGCCCCCCAGACGCCGAAAATCGCTCCCCCCCCCTCCCCCTCGCTGCGATTTGTTCACGACGAGAGGAGGAGAGGTCCCTCGGCCTTCTATGTCACCAGCGCCGCTCACCGCAGCAATTTTAGACACAAGTTGAGTTGTGGCAGGATCTAAACACCAGTTCACTTTCTGTAGAAGTGTCAGCTTGAATCGAAGAGCCATTGCATAAACAGATCGTCGAGGAACTTGTCTGCTTGAATCGCCGAGGAGCCCCCTTTCCAGAGGGAGGAGGAAGGTCGCTGTGTCCCTTCGCCGTGGTGTCTTTCCTCCGGCCCTCGCTCGTTCGCCTCCTCGTCGGGCCCTCGTTCGGTCCCGCTGCTGCCTGGGAGTTTGCCCTTAACTCTGACCCACATACAAAACTCTAAGAAACAGCTTATAAGGAGCTTCAAACAGGTTTTGAACAGATAAACGCTCTATCAAGATACAATAACAGCACTACTACTGAGGAATAGATTTTAACATATGAGGATCTAGAAAAAGCTTATAAGAAGATGGACTACTCCTTACTAAGAAGATATGGTACAACTATAGATAAGAGGACTAGGCTTTCAGATGTCGGCACTTTTTTTTGTTCGACGAGCCAACATAAATTACATCTGCATAGATTATCTGCGATATCTTGGACCAGCGTCCGTCTGGCGGCGCCGCCGGCGCCGCCCCTGGCGCGCTCCCGCGCGCCAGGGAGGGGGATCCAGCGCCGATCCAAGAACGCGTGGGCCTCCGAGAAAGTATGCTCCTGCAGCTTGCTGTTACTCCTTGATCTCGACAGAGCTGGCCCCGAGGGGGTCGGAACCTCCTTGGGGCCGCGCATGGAAGCAGAAACCACACCGTCGGATGCCTGGGGGAGTGCTCCTGGCTCAAGGGTTAAGTCGGACCTGTCCCTCTACAGGGGGAATATCCAAAAATAGTCAAAAAATAATCAGGGGACTATTTTTTTCAGCATTTGGGGGGCATTTGTGGCGCATTTTTCAATTTTTGTTCGCCCAACATCCCCCCTGTAGAGGGGATCCTCCTGGGTCGCCGGCCCAGCCGGCCCCCAGGGGATGCCTCCCGAGAGCCCACAGCCCGAACCCGAGCCCGAGCTCGAGCTCGAGAGCCCCCGCCCGAGCCCGAGCCCCAGCCCGAGCCCGAGCCCCAGCCCGAGCCGCCCGAGCCCGATCGCGAGCCCGAGCAGGGAGCCCGAGCCCCGGCGCGAGCAGCCAGGGACGCCCTTGGGCCAGGAGCGCACCCGGCAGCTCTGCCGAGCGAGGCGTGCCCGGGAGGGGGTCCCCCGGGGGCGCATCCCCGCGCGCGGCCGGGCGCCCCGCGTCGCGACCGCGCGGTGCGCGGACGAGCCTGACCGGCTGGGAAAAGGGCAGGTTTCAGCTACGCGCAGAGGGGGGCTCCTCAGAAGCAGCCTCTCTTCGGGCGAAGAGAACTATGCACATGCACCGATCCTGGCAAGGCCCATCCTTGACCCAGGATCGGTGCATATGCCTTCCTGGCGAAGGTAGGAGGGCGTATGCACCGATCCTGGCCTCAGGGTGGGCCTGGCCAGAATCGGTGTGTGTGCATAGTTCTCTTTCCTCTATCTCTGGCAGAAGCTTTCCCCGCTCCCCCTACCCCCTTTGTGCGCGCCGCCAGAGGCTGGCCGTTCCCACCTCTTGACCTCCTAGAGGGGGTCGGGGTAAAAGGGGTCGGAGCATCGCGCCGCATCGTTGAGGCATCGGCGACGCGGCCCGATGTGGAGCCCGACTTGCTCCACGCCGGCGTCGCCGATGCATCGCCGACGCATCGGTGATGCATCGCCGGTGCATCGGTGATGCATCGGTGAGACGGGGCGATCCTCCGATCATCTGCTCAGACCCCATCTGGAAGGCATCTGAAAATCAGTATCGTTTATCCCACCCCCATCCCCATCCCCATCCCCTTCGAGACCCCCACCAAATTACCCCCCCAGTTGGGGATACACCCCTCGAAACCCGAAGGGGACGTCCTATATCCCCATCTAGGGTGGTAAATCGGCCAGTGGGGCCGAGGCCACGCCGGTGGGGATGGGGATCGGTTAAACGATACTCAGAAAAGGCAGCTCGGCCGTTCCCATGCCAGCCACCAAACGTCTCAAAGACATCGGCGCGGCGATTGGTCAACTTTTTCTGCCCAATGGGGGCCCTTGCCTGGCCACGGGACCGCCGTAAACGTTTCTGGGGACCCCGCATTGGACACAAATCAAGTTGATGGATACTTGGGAATCTTCTCCGTAGTGTCGAGCGACAGGAGCTACTGACACACCAATCTCGGCCAGGCCCATCTTCGGCCCAGGGTCGGTCCATCGCGTGCCTTCCTGGCCATGCCAGGATGAGGTTTGCGTCGATCGATCCAGGACCCACGGCGTGCCTGGCCAGGATTGGTGCATGCGCAAAGTGCAAAGTCCTCATGTTGGGAAAGGCCTAAAAGGGCACAGCGAGGTCAAAGCTGGGCACCCCGTCATGGAAGTACGAGGCCAGATCGGCATCTTCACGATGCCGCATCCCAAACACGCACATCTCCCTGCACCAGAGAAGGGCCAGCGGAGTTCTCGTTGGCCCTCATAATATTTCCTGTTCCTTCCTCCTCCCTGTTCCCTTCCTCTGGTTGTCATGCGTATTCCAACCTCTCCTCCTCCCGCGCCTCTGTCAAACCTCCCTTACGTCGCCGCCACTGTGGCTCGCAAGGGTCCTTGAGCTACTTGGTGCGCGGGCCACGGGCGCGCGCTGGCCCCCGTAAAATGGGAAGAGCACGTACTCTTTCTTAGTACGGGTCCCACTTTTTGTGCTACGTGCCTCTCTGTATTCCATACAGTTACCCCCGTACACTCCACAATGGCAGCGAAACGCGTGGTTCCGATCCACGAGGGGGGCGAATCGACACCTCGACAGACCTACCCAGCGCACGGGGTCCGCACGCGACGCCCCGCCCACGGGGCGAGACCTCGGCAGACCCGGCCAGCGCACGGGACGCCCACGCGGCGCCCGCGGCCCCCCACCAAGCAAGACTTCGGCAGCCCACCCAGCTCATGGGCCGTCCACGAGGCGCCCACAACCGCTCACCAGGCGAGACCTCTGCAGGCCGTTCCCGCGCAAGGCGGTGCCACGAGGCGCCCATGGCCGCCCACTGACCGAAGTCTCCGCAAACTCTTCCGTAGCCATTTTGGCTCAAGGTCCGTAGCCTCGGCTCAGGACCTGGCCTCAGTGGCAAGGGGGAGCAGCGGCCCCCACAGTGCCCCTCGTTTGCCTGGCCAGACGAGATTTCATTTTGGCGTGTCGCGCGCGCGTGATGGTCCCAGATCCGCCCAAGGGGCCTCCTCGTCAGCCGCGTGACCGCCCGCATCCGCAGAGTGGTTACAAGACGTGCTATGGCAAGAACTCGTGCGGCTACCAGTATAACCTGGTGGAGTGGAGCAGGTGTTTTCGCTGTAAGAAGTGGATTCGCGATGTTGTTGTTCGTGACACTGTCAAAGGGCCTCCGAGACCCTGGAGAACAGGCGAGCAGCAAGCTCAGGACGCATGGCAGCTGGTCGGCAAGAGTGGCCGAGGCCGTAAAGGTGGTTCCATGTCCGATCACGACGCTGCTGATTCCCCAAGTGGAGGTGCACCTGCCAAGCCTGGTCCTGGGTTCGGCAAAGGAGGCGCTGCTACTCGCTCCAAGGGGAAAGGCGCTGAGAACAACAGGGCGGCCAAGCAGGAGTACTTGTCGGCCGCAATTGAGCAGCTCACCCTGGCAGGCCTTGGGCCCGAGCACCCACCGGCTGCGGCAGCGACGGCCCAGATCCCAGTCGTGTCCGCCGCGCCAGATGACAACCAGGGCCAGACGCCTTGGATGCGGGTGCGATCGCATCAGGACAAGTTGGCCCACTACCAGGGCCAGCTTCAGTCGGCGCAGTCCACGGAGGCTTCGATCAAGCAGAAGCAGGCCGAGCTCGAGCAGGACCTTGCTGAGTGCCTGGAGTCTCAGAAGAAGTTGGCGGAGTCTGTCAAGCGCGAGGAGGAGGAGTTGCAGCGGCTTCATCGCCGCGCCGTCCTTCACCCTGTGGGAGCTGATGGGAAGGCGGCCATCGCGGACTTGGTCGAGACCTTGTTCGGCCATCTCCCTGTTGGTTTCAAGTCGGCGAAGGCGGCCCAGTTCCAGTCGGCGGTTGACCTCCTCGGGCATCTGTCCGCGGCAGGGCTCCAATTCCAGCAGGAGGAGGAAGCGCGCCAGCGGCAGGAGGCCGAGGCGGCGGCCCAGCGGGCGGCTGCTGGCTGTGATGCTAGTGATGCTGGGGCTACTCCGACGTCGGCGATCGACTCCAGGGTTGCCGAGGATTGCAAGCAACAGCTCCAAGATCTCATGCAGGGTGGCAAAGCTGGGCAGTATGAGGGCCTTTTCAAGACGATGCTGGGGTCCCTGGAGAACCCCGCGGCCCTCGCCAAGCGCCCCAGGCGTGAACCCCCAGCGCCTGCGGCGGCAACTGCACCTGAAGGTCATCATGTTCATGGTGCTGGGGCTGGCCAAGGCCCTGGTGCTGATGCTCCCGCAGCTGCAGGTGATGGACCTCAAGGGGGGTAACATGCTCGGCAAGGTGTCCGAGGTGGCGCTGAATTCTCTCTCGAGATCCCCTTCGGCGTCTGGCCCATCATCGCGCGCGCCTGAGGTTTCGGCGGGAGCGAGAGGCAGGCCCGCCAGGACCGCGACCGCTTCGATGGAGGTCGCGGGGAAGCAAGGCCCCCAGATTTGTGGCGAAGCTGGGGCCTTGCGAGGGGGGCTGGAGACTCGTGCCTGCCAGCCGCTTTCCCAGCCTCAGGAATGTATCCTTTCCCCATCGGCATCTCCAGCGGAGGGCCTTCCTTCGACTAGGCCAGGTCGACAGCATAGACGACATGAGGTCTGGAGGATCTGCTCGTCTAGTATTACCTCGTGGGGAGTGGAGTGCGACAAGGGCTCCAGGGTCTCACGCAGGCCTTTCTTAGAGCTGATTGACGCCGTGGAGTCCGATTTGTTTGTTGTTCCAGGAGCACCGCCAGACTGAGTTTCAGCTGGCGGACGTCCAGCATGCCACGCGGAAGGCAGGGCTGAATTCTTTGCTATCCCCAGCGGCGCCGTCGGGTCGTTCAGAGCCTGGCACGTCTGGAGGAGTGGGCATGGCTACACCGAAGCTCTGGGGCCTCAAAGGCCTCGGCGCTGTCCCCCCTGGTATTGCTCTACCTCCTGATCATCGGTTTCGGCTAGGTCTCTGGGGCGGTTTATGCACGGGCGGAGTCGTCGTCGGTTCAGTCTGCTTACGCACGGGGATCGGTTGCAGGGGCCAAAACCTCACCCTCCTTCACAACATCGGGGAAGTTCCCCGTGCGTACGGGATGCCCTTCGCAGCTTATTGAGTCTGGGTGGTTAGGGGACCTCCAGGCTGACGTGGTTTTCGATGATGCTCATTGGACGTGCCAGCTTGGAACATCTCGATCATCTATCGACTATTTAGTTGTATCGAATGTGCTCAAGCCTGTTGTTGACCGTTGCTGCGTGGCGGCATGGTCGACTTGCGCGAGGCCGCACCGCCCAGTTGTGCCGGCAATCAGTGGCAGCCCCAGGCAGGCGACGGCACCCAGGCTGAAGAAAACATCGGCGCTCCCTTTATACCGTCCGATTGGGCGCGACCCTAGGCCACTGGAGTGGGATGATTTCCTGGAGGTTTTCAAGAGCGGCAAGTGTTCAAACTATGTGTTGGATACTGTCACCTCCCAGTGGGTTCAGAGGGCCGGACTTATTTTAACTCGTGTACTCCAGGTGGGAGACGATCCACGATATCGAGGACGAGGAAGCCCCCCCAAGGTGGTCCAGGCCCCCCTGCTAGGCCCGCCCGCGTCCACCCATCCCAGGGCCATCGGCGAAGGTCGGATGTGGAGGGTGTTCGGGAGGCGGCTCCAGGACATTTTGTCCCTCTGGCATGGGCCACGGCCTACCTTGGGGGGGTTACAGCAAGCTGGGCTTATTCTGAGGAAGTTGGTGAACTATGTGTCCCCGTTCACTGACTGCAAGCACTGGGAGCCCTGGAGGCTTAGGATATTGGCGGCCAACCCGGCTGCAACCTCAGAGCTCAACGAGTTGATTTGGCAGGTCCGCAAGTGGGCCCAAGAACATGAGCACCACGCGGCTTCGGAGAGGGCCAGGGCTTGGAGAAGCTGGGCGGCTGAGGCTCTCACTGGCGGGGCTCGTCTGGGACACAGGTGCACCAAAGACGTCCCCAAGTGGGCTACGTGTGGGCTCTCGCAATTCTCAGGGCCACATGGTGCCCCTCTGGGTGTCTTGGAAGAAGCCGAAGCACGAGCTCAAAATTGGCATAAGCAT